TGCTGGGCGTTGCTGTCCTGAATACAAGACCTCTTCAGGATGTGGTAACTTGAGTTGCAGTTTCATCTGCTTGATATTAACATGGTTTGTTTTTTCTGAAAGCGCCTTAGTCAAACTGTTAGTAGGTCTAAAACGGTGCCATTGGTTGTCATAATGTGGTGTAACCTGACTCTTTTCTTCACTATTAAAAGCTGCATTATAGTTCAGTGATACTAGTGTCTTTCTGATCGGAAATGATCAGTGAATTCCTCGACATGATCGGCTTTTATATGTACATCAGAGGTAGACGGATAAATGTGCAGACGTGATGAAAGGGTGACTATCAGAGGACACGTTAATCAGTAAGTCATTTGTTTTACAGAAATGTCAATTATATGGACATTTCTTCTAATGTCCCCCTTCGAGCACTGACAAGTTTAATTTTAAACTTTCCATTGTGGTTGCTCAATACCAGAAACTGTTTCCTCATCAAACCTTTATTTGTGTAAAGATTGATGTCTGGTGAGAATTCCTTTCTAAAATATGGTGATATTTGGTCAATGTCTGCATCCCTCACTGTCAACGGACCTTCTGATCTTCACAAATCATCACAGGTTGGCTTGTGGCACTAATGTAGAGTTGCTTTCCTCTTTTAACTGTGCAGGTTGAAGAGATCTTGGATCATGACTCAGAAGATGAAGTTCCTACGATGACGAGGCGACCGCCGCCTCGTGGCCGGGCCAGGAAGAGGGCGATCCCCGTGGATGAGCGAGAAACAGGTACGACAAAACCCCAGTGCTTTGTATTCCCCAGTATGCTTCTGATATATGTTAACATGTTGTTTTCCTTAGACTGACATCCTCGCACCATTCCTTTGCTCGTTACTGTCGTGTTATGTGACTGATTGACTTCTTCTGCTCTAGATTTGGACTTTAAAACTCCAGTCAGACCCATCATGCAACATGAACGCATACTGTCAGAGATGGACCCGGTGTCTCCTCACAACGCAACAGCCAGAAACATCTACTCACCCATCGTGCGTTTCCTCACACCCAGCAAAGAGAGTAAGTACCGCTGCTGCTACAGCGCGAGTTCATGGTCTGGATTTATGAATACAAGACCCCCCAAAAAGAATGCATCATCAGCGTTTTTTTGTGTTGTTGACTTAACATTATCACTTATTCATCATCCATCCACTTTGGGAGATATCGAGGTATCCCTCTGAAGCTCGCTTTCTTTTCTTGTGTTTTTGTTTGTTTGTTTTTAATTGTTTTTCCTTTTTTTTTACCATTTTCCAACACTGCCCCAGAACACTGAAAATCCACATCCTGTTGCAGCCCTATTGAGTATTCACTGTCCCGATGTTCAGATTTGTCTTACTTACGGTCTATTCATGTCCCCCCCCACACAGATTTGAAGTGTCCAGGAACCGGGACCAACATATTAATGAGCCCAGAACAAGGCGTGTTTGGTTATGGCTCCATTGACCTTCTGGCTGGAGACGAGGACGATGACGTCTTCAACCCGTAAGTACAACGATTATAAGCTTGTCTTTATTAGAGCCACATGTTTTAGTGTCTCCTTCTGTAGTTTTACCCCAGACACTGGGGACGGAGGGGAATTGATTTGTGAAAAATCTGCAATTCTGGCAAAGTTTATCGAATCCCAAAATGTTTGTCTACATTATTAATTACCTTATGTGAGAAAAATAGGCGCAGTACGGTGCATGGATATTATGTACAGTGTGCACACAGTTTCTATTTGCTAATTCCATATTGGCTGTGGTCAGGAAATGACACCCTGCCTATTGTACATTTCATAAAATGTTATGGATCATCATTTGGGTGCCTGAAGTTTAACTGCTTTGAAAGGAGGAAATCTATATTTCATTACCAGTGTTACATGTACGAGTACCGTGGCAGTTTATAAAGCATCATGGGTGTAGCTGTAGGTCTGAGTGGCAAACGCTGTGTTTCCTGCATTCCGGAAAATGTTTTATGTTTGTGATTCTGTTTCAAAGCATTTTTTTTTTCTTTTCTGTTCCAGTTTTACCTTCATCAAGAACATCCCGTCACAGTCTCAACATTCCCGCCCTCGTCTCAGAGACATTCCACCCAAGACCAGGAGCACTCCCGTGGCCACGCTGGTGGTTGATCTGGTGAGTTTGCTCCTCTGTGACTCAATGAACAAGACTGTAGGAATGTACTTGTGGGGTAACAATGGAGAGTCACAGATGAGTCAGCAGCCACTGCAATCCACTCCAGTTGTGACAGAGTGTATCTCTCCACAGTCACTTCTCGGTCTGCGTTCTCATTTCCAGTACTGTCCCATTTCAAAGTCTGCTTTTAGCAAAGTACAGTCCAAATGGCCAGATGTGTCTGTGGTTTATTCCATTTGCTGCTGCTGGATCCAGAGAATAGTTTTAGTGTCATTCATGGCTGAGATCACACCAGTGTTCAGCTGTAAAGTACACATTGTCCATCTGGTTGTTTTGGTAAGATAACTGGTGTCAATGTATTTACATCATCAGGAGGTAGTCTGATTACTTTTTAAGAGCATCTTAGAGTGATACATGGGACTTGTAGTCTTTATTTCTCTGTGTAGCTAAACGTGATTAGTTGATGCAGTCTTGGATGTGTATACTAAAATAAACTGATGTGTGTCCTTCCAGGAGGAGACCCTGATGTTCAGCTCTCTGAACGTGATTGAGGAGGCAGAGTACACCTTCCACACAGCTTTCCAGGACCATCAGTATAAGGTGACCAGTCACTGTGCTGTAGCTGTACACAACATTCATGTTACAGTATGAATCTTGATTTTGGAAAGTGTGAAGTAGTTTTTTTTCTTTCATTTTCAAAAAACAAGATATTCAAAAGGGCCTGATTGATTGTCACAGTCAGAGCGCTCAAATGTCAATAAGAAGACTCTGAGATGTTTATTCTCACATGTCAACATGTCTATTAAGACAAGTGCAGCATATTCATAAAAGAACTGCAGTTCCATCTTTAAAAGGGAGTTCTGCTGCCTGCCTCTCTTCTTTCAGCACTGACAACATGGCCTCTTTGTTGTCAAGATGTTATTAGAATCCTCAGTGAGCAGAACTGAGCAGGGCCTTGGTGTTTACTGTCGACTCTTTAATAGAGAGAGACAGCCTTTAGGTCTGAACAGTGAAGGCAGCACACGGGTGCCTTCAACCTGCATTCTTTCTGATGACCAACAGGGGGCAAATGCCCTCAGTGAACATTTTCCTGATGACTTTCTGGTCTCAGTCTCTAGTTTCAAATCTCTGTCAATGAGACGGAGTGTTCATTTATTAAACTACGTATCCTTTAGAGGAAAATGGACAATGAAGCAGGGTGAGCTTCAGAGCATTTCTACCTTATTATTACCAAGTTGCTACCATTTGGCCATCTGTAGTGTCCGTGAGTTCTCAGCCCACTTATGTTTTGCAGTCTGTGGTACAAACGTTCAGTGTGAGGAAATTTCTCATCGATTGAATACACATACCATCACATCATTACCACTGAGGGCAAGCTGCAGTTCACAGACCTGTTCCAGAAATAATAGTAAATAATTACATATGATGAAAGGACGATGAGAGAGAGTTTGTTTTCTTCAGTTTGTGAGACAAGAACGAATAGAAACCAGAACTTCACTCATCACATTCCCCTGGTGGGACACTGTGGCTAGTCATCATCTCCACTGGGTTGTCATTCATTTTGGTTTCTTGGTAATTAGTTCATAAAATTGACTTAAAATAAACTGTGATGTACGGACCCTGCAGTGTGTTTAGCATGTTTACTGCACACAGCACATGCAGATAGTTTTCTCTGTTTTCTTTTGGTGTCTAAACTGCCAGTTAACAGTGAAACACACTGAAAAGTAAGTTGAGAATATGTGTTTGGTTATTTATGTGTTCTTTCATCCTCCCTGCTATCAACAGGTGTACATGATCCTGCGACCACATGTGAAGGAGTTTCTGCAGGCCATGGCCAAAATCTATGAGGTAAACTAATGAGTAAACGTGTTTATTAGCTTTCGGTAAATGCTGTCTGAAAGTTTAATCTGTTGGAGCTTTTGTTCTCTGTTATCAGAACATATACAGCCTCCTTCTGTGGACTCACAGAGTTAAGACTTAGCTTTACTCAGCTCAACCTGTTTATTTTCCTCTTTTGTCCCACTTTAATCTACACAAATGTGATATGCATCCCTCTGACTGAACATGGAAAACCAAACTAAATGCGGTTTCCATGGTGTTGTGTTGCCAGTTGAGTTCTGGTTTGGGTGGAATCTGTTACAGCTGCCGTCTCTGTTTTTTTTCCAGCTGTTTGTTTATACGTGCGCAAAGAAGGAATACGCAGAGAAGATACTGGACGTCCTGGACCCGCAGAGAAAACTGTTTCGGTATGTCTTCCCCAGAGCCGCGCCACTTGTGTTTCGTAAACGTTTAGCTTGACCGCACAGACGTGCACCGCGTCAGGTTCATCCCAATCAGCCGGGGAGTGTCGGTCTGCTGCCGACCTGACGTCAGAGCTGTAATAAGGCCCGTGTGTGGTCGCTCTCCATGTTTCTATGTCATACTGTGTTTCTGTCGTATGGTGAGGATCGTAGAAATCAGTTTTTCAGGTGGTTAATATCACATGTCGATGATGTTCCCCCGCAGACATCGACTGTATCAGGACGACTGTGCCTGCATCCTCGGCCACTACGTCAAAGATCTCAGCATCCTGGGGCGGGATCTCAACAAGACGGTGGTTCTGGACAACGCGCCCCACACATATCCGTACCATGTAAGAGTCATTTTCATTGATGAAGACATTTTGTAAGTTTCGAATTAGCAGCAAATTCAATAAGAAGACCAGAAGCAGCCATACATCACTGTGCTCTCCATTCTCTCTGCCACTGTTGGAACTCAGTCCAGATTCCACTGGTTCTGCTCTCTGAAGAGCTGAACTGAAAAATGGGTCACAAAACACATTTGTAATATTTAATGACGACTTCACTAATCTCAGGTAGTGAAGGATTTTCTACCATCTGACTTGTTAGAAAAATTCGTCTGCACTTGTTCTCTGACTGGCGTTAACCCTCAAAACCCGACAGACGCTCTGTGCGTCCAAGTTCACTTCTTGGCTGAACTGCTCTTGAAGTATTTATTGCGGTGAGGTGTGGAGCATTTCAAATGAAACTGCATGACTTCACCTTTCAAGCAATGACAGCTTTGCCTCTCCTGGCAGCGTGCCTCTACAAATATTGTGCTGTATGTGAACACTGTGAATCAAACAATGGAATTTGTTTCTGTCAGGCACGAATCAGATGTTTTCTTTTAAAATTTCTGAACCACACATCAACCCACCGTCATGGATCTGATTTTTGCCAGATTCCACACAATCTCCCCATCGTGATTATGATAAGATCGCTCCACTGTTCGCATTTTAATGTGGCAAGATGCTCTAAAAACAACCATTTCATCACTGAAAGTATTTTTTTTCCCCCTGATGTAATGGCTAATGCAAAATATCAGGAAGTATTATATAATAGGATAGAAGATCTGGGTAGTCTGGAATGTTTGGAAAAAAACATAGAATAGAATAGAAATACTTTATTCATCCTCAAGGGGAAATTTGGTTGTTGCAGCACAAAGATAAAGTTACCACCACCATAAATACTGATAAATAAGCAAAAATAAACTATAAGAAAATGCAAAATGTACAATAAGTGTACCGTAATTTCTGGACTATTGAGCACCTGAATATAAGCAGCACCCACTAACTTTAAAAAGAAAACAAGTTTTGTACATATACAGGCCGCACTCGTCTATAAGCTGCAGGTGTCCACGTTGGAACATGACATATTTACACAGAAAGATTTAAACTTTTAATTAAATACGTACCGTAAAAAACTACAGCAGTCTACCAGGAAAAGTCATTGATCTCTATCTTCATCTTCCTCCTGCACTAAAACCACTGAAGTCGTCTTCTTCAGTGTCGGAGCTGAACAGCCTCAGAATCACTTCGTCACTTCCTCAGTCTCTCTGTCGTTGTCGCTCTCAGTGTCACTTTGGTCTCGAGGCAAATTTGTAAAAATCCATAAATGAGCCGCATCAATGTTCAAAGCGTGTGAAAAAAGTGGCGGCTTATAGTCCAGAATTTACGGTACTGTGTGAAGTGTAGCGCAGATAATGTGCAACAAAGTGAGAGAACAACAGAAGGCTAGCTCTTGTAATGACCTGAGATTTAAAAAAAACTTTGAGGTGAAGGCAGTGGAATTACCCTGAATATACCCTGTGGCTCATAACTTGCAGTTGCACCCACTTCATGCATGTTTCTGGTGTTTTGCAGCTGATGAACACGCTTCCCATTAAGAGCTGGTCCGGGCAGACGGGCGACAGAGAACTGCAGAAGCTCATCCCCTACATGGAGAAACTGTCTGCAGCTGTAAGTCTACCTCCATCCTCCATGTTGGTCACACATTCACCTCCATGCTTTCTGGAAGGAATGAATCGCTCCTCTGCCATCACCACATATGCACAGTCAAGCCTAGTTTTGGATTTTTGAAAATCCATCTTACAGTGGCTAAATGTGACGTTCTTCTAATGCAGCATCGAATTGCCATGTGAAAGGATTTAGTCAGTGATGAAGCTGCAGAGTATTATCTCCTTAATCTGCAGCTGCTCTCAGCTTCACCAGTCAGTGTTGAGTTTCAGCTCATTGTTCCTGTTTTCACTCTCGCTGCTTCTATATCGTCCTTTTCATCCACAACTGGCAGGTGTTTTCAGAGAAAAAGATCTAAAACCTCCCTGTACACTCCCTGCTCACCACCAAACAGGAGACAGACACAGTGGGGCATTTAGCAGCGCCACATATTTCCCTCCGGTGTTCGTAGAAACCCAAAACTGATTATAAGACTGAGTATGTGACTGAGGCCTTGTCCACATGTAGCAGGGTTTTTGTAAAACTGAATATCCTGTCCCCTCCTTCTAGAAAAAACTTACATATACGCCACCTCGTTTTTAGAAAATAATTCATCCACATCTAACCGCATCAGTGCGTTGTTCAGCACATTCATGTTCTGCGTGAGGACGTAATAACTCCGACGACAGGAGCGACGACCGGGACGTACAGAAGTTGTCACGCCATTCCTCCAGGAGCACGATTTCAAAGTTCTTCCACCAGCTGGCAGTGCGTCCCGGTCTGACCCAAAACCGGCATCGGTGTCTCTGACAGAGAACATGCCTCAGACGTGGAATGGCAAGGTGGCGGAAAAAACCCGTCCTTACCGTCGTCCTTCGCCTGTGTTCTTGTACGTGGAGCGATATCTGGACCTGGACCAGAGACAACACAGTTCTGAGGGCGTCCACGCTGTTTCCAAATGTAAACACAGGTTACATATGTGATGTAGAGAACAGATTTTGTCGCAGGCAGTGACGTTTCAAAACCTAAACCCTGGTTATTGACGTCCACATGCAGACGCATAAACGGAGGATTCACAGATCTTCACTTTGGTCGGAGGTTTTTCAAATAATCGTTTTTAATGCTGTAAATATACGTTTTCGTGTGAGTGACAAATATCTTGGTTTTGTGAGACACTCTGCTACGTGTGGACGAGGCCTTACGTTAGTGAGATGGTCACAGACACGACTCATTACCTGCTGGATGTGTGAATGAGCAGCTGCTGTTCATCACATCATGTTCAAACAGGACCGTAGTTCAGTGTTTGTGCTGCCACCGAGTGGCCACACAGTCCCTCATTACAGGTTTAAGATTCAATAATAAAAGAAGATTGTTGGCTTGCAGGTTTTCAGAACCTAAGTGACATTATTTAATTACTAGAAGCCCAATGTGCTGGTCCGGTGTGCAGGATCAGTACCAGCAATGATCAGTGCCGTTCAGCGCAGGCCATCATTTCTCCCCATCTAATCCGATCTTTTGCTTTCTGAGTTGTGACTGTTTCCTTTTCCGTGTGCAGCCATGATGTCAGTCCGTCTGTTGTTTTCATTCTCTGTCTCTCTTCCTCTCGTCCTGCTCATTTCTCCAGTTGTGACCATGTGTTCCAGGGTCTCTTTCCTCATGACGGGTCCAAAAAAACGTCGCCTGCCGTTTCCTAATTTTATTCAATAGCGTAGAATTTGTGTTTAGTAATTTCAAAACATTTTTGTTGCTTATTCGTGTTACAAGTTGGATATTTTGACTCATTGCACATCCATGTCAGGAAAGGTTTAGTCAGTGCTCACCAAAAATGAACTAAAGTGTCAAAACAAAAAACATTTGAAGAGTTCATTTGCAAGAACAGATAGCTCCATCTTCACAAACCTCCAGAAAACCCACTTCAAACTTCAGTTATCTCTGTTTCTGTCATTTCTACTGAGTCACATCCACTCAGCTTCAGTTTGATTCTTACAATCTCAAGCAAACAACAAAAAATAAGTTGTCTGAAGATCTACTAAAAGTGAGTTATCTGTTTTTGCAAATGAGCTCTTTGTTTGTGTCGTCTGTTAAACTCTAAGACGTGACTTCACTCTCTGAGGGCTGCAGATGTTTGTCTGTTTTAGTCTCGGTGATGATCAGAGGAGCCGATGGATTTAGAAACGTTCCAGCCCGTCAGCGGTGAATCAAGCCGTCGGTTATCTGCAGCAGCATCTGCCTGCTGTCTTTCCTCCCCCGCTTTCATGGTCGGCTCTCAATATCTCCCGCTGTGTTTTTTCAGGAGGATTTTCAGGAGGTGCTGAAGAAGAGGAAGGATCACTTCCACCGGCTGCTGTCGGAGGACTGACAGGACTCTCCGGCTCCCCCCGTTTCAACCACTTCACGTGACTTTCACAGTTCGTGTTTGCTTTCTTTTTGGCTATAAAGCCGAAACCAGCTGGACCTAGCCGACCTGCGGGCTGGACGTGGACCCGATCGCCCTCCTCCGTCCTCCTGACGACTTTAAAGGACGGCACACCGGCATTCCAAACATGCTGCTGGTCGTCCGTCACCAGAACCCCTCCTTCCTCCGACACCATTCCACAGAAAACCAACCAGTGTGTGTGTACATATTAAAAACATGTTGTTTATAGTCATAATTTTTATTTATTGATTATATTGCTAATCAATGGCCGTTAACTCTGTATATTTTAGAAATGCTTTTTTATGCAGTAAAGTTACCCTGATGATAATAAATGATTCAATAAATCACTGGTGTCGGTTGGCTTCACTTGTGTTTAATAAGTTTGAGTTTGGATGTGCTGCCGTCGTTGTGGTGGACAGTTTGACGTTAAGGCTGCTCCTGATGGATGCAGAGGAGGGTTACAGTGGACATACCAGAGCTCTACGTCTTCCTTTGCACTGCCTGAACCTTGTTTTTCTTCTTTATATATTTCGGTTTTGTGTGGATACAGAACAGGAGGTCTGGGATGAAGCAACACAAATAGAAAAGCAAAGAAAGTTCATCCTCTTAAAAGGATTCTGACACATTATTTGCACACTTTCTCTTCCTTCTTTTTACATCAGAAAGTCTTTTTTTCCTCCCACTGAGCAAATCGATTCTACTCTACTGATGAGAGGATTTCTTCTGTCTTGTAATATTTTTTCTCCCTGTGTTACTTCACTACAGATATACTTTCAAATTACAAAAAAATGAAAGAAAAAAACAGATTTCAAGTCCAGAATGTTTTTAGTTTAACACCGGACCTTTGTCCTGGTATGTTTTTTGGGGCAGGTGGTGTTTTGAACTAAATGTACCTTCTCTTGGTTTGAGCTGCTGAGGCATCAGATCAGAGCCGCCAAACACTGACTGGTGGGGTTTTTTTGTTTTTTTTTTCACACAATGAAAAAAAAATGTTCCTGCTGCTAAAATCGAGCTCATTGCTTCCTTTGCAGCAGGAAAGCAAAGGTTCACAAGGACAAGTGGAAAAGATTTGTCAGGTAGAGATCAGTGGAATCATCTGTGTAGCGTGCAGCTTAATGGTGCGTTAACAAGAACGTTACCGTGATGTTTGACACGTTAGATTACCTACAACCAGCTGAACAGGAAACAATTCTATTTGTCAAATAAATGGCGTTAATTCTAGATATTAGAAATGGCAAAACTACATTTAACAAAACAGAGAGGTTATGATTGTTGTTATTATAGTGATGCCAAAGACAATGAACACACAAGGGCTGAGATAAAAGGATTATTTTCATTATTGATCCATCAAAAGTGTTCACCACAAACCTAAGATAAGGGATTGCAAAACTGTATTGTAATCAAACATCAGGGAAAATCTTGCAGCAGGAGTGCCAAAAAAATATGTTAAAATCAGTGTAATACTGTGACTGACTAACTGTAGTTTCAGACATTAAAAAAACTGTAAAGATTTTTTTCAATGGGGACATTCTTAATAGTTTTGACCTGTTTAATTTATTCAGGAAAAAAAAAAAACAGGAAAAATCTGTAAAATAAAATTGTCATTAAGTTATATATATTAATCCTTGATGTACAAAATTTTCTTTCAAAAAAAAAAAAAAAATCTGGCAGAAATGATGCCACTAAGTATGTGTTTAAAACAAACAGTACAATATTGTAAATATATAATATATTCTTAAAACTGTCACCGTAACAGCAAACATCTGTAAAATAATTTTGCTGCTTTAAATAGAATGAGTGTAATTTTATGGTTAAATGTTGTAAAAGAACAATTACTATTTGAAAAAAGAAAAGCATGTTTGTTATGGACAATATTTACAGTTTTCTCCTGTTTTTTGTTGTTTTGTTTTTACAAGAAGTCAACGTGTAAATTAATATTTATTTCCTGCACTTTTACAAAATATCTGTAATTTAACAAAACAGGAAAAATCCGTGAAGTAACAGAATATTTTTCAATCCTAGTTGACTTTTTTTTCTTAAAAGTTTTGACAAAAATATATGAAACAAAACATAAAAATAATTTCATGATCAAATGTAAAATTCCCTTTTTGTAAAAATACTCATTTTTTAATTTACAGTTTTGGCTAATTTTAACGTGAATTTATACTTTTTCTGCAGCTTTACTCGTTGTTTTCTGTATTTTAACAACAAAGGGAGCAAATATTTCATAGATGCATCTTTGGCAGCTTTCAGCAGATGTTTGGCCTCATTAATGCCTGAAACAGTCACTTATTGCAAGACCTTAACAAAAGCAGCAGATAAAACACCGCAGTGCTTCTGAAGATTCTAAACGACAGGCTTGATGCACCTTTAATTTATTTTACAGATGACACTGGAGGAGCTCCTGCGGTGACTCACTGATATCTGAGTCACAAACACATCAACCGAAGCTCCAAAGTCCTGCAGCTCAACTCACATCCTGTGTATGAACATGAAGAGCTTCAGTCTAAATGTTTACTGCGCTGTTTAGACCAACGTGTGTTTGTGATGGATGTGATTGTTAATGTTGAAGGTAAACTGAAGGTAGCTGCCTCCTCCTGCTCCTCCTCCTCCTCTTGCTGCTGCTGCTCCGGCTTTATTTGCTCCATATGGTGTTTGACATGGTACCCAAGAAGAAGAAAAAAAGACTTGTGTGGGCGGAGGAAAAGCCTAGTATTTTGTCCGTCCTGAAATTTGATTCAGAAGTTCAGGATCCTGGAAGACAAAAAGCAAACGGAGGGGGAGGGAAGAAAGGCTGAGAAGGACGGAGGGCTTTTTTTTTTTTTTTTTTTTTAAACTGCGAGAAGAGTAAACTCACCAAAACACTCTGCAACCTCCGACTCAAGTAAGTTCATTTATTCCTGGAATGTTCATTAGAAAGGCTTTTCACGGAGCCTCATGAAGTCTGGTTTGTGTGAGAGCTTTAAACGGCTTTAATTGCTGCTGAGCGGCTGCAAAATGTGAGATTTCTGAATGACTTGTGTCCTTTTACGCACAGCTTCATGCGGTCTCGGGCGCGTTTCTTTTGGCCTCGTTTGATTTATTTATCAATAAATAAGGTATTTCCTGCAGCTGAACCAGACACCAGCAGGGCTTCACTTTGCTCTGTGGAGGAGGAATTGTGCAAAAGTTTTTTTTTTTTTTGTTTGAGAGAGTTGCTCAGCAGCGGGGGGAAAGTTATTTTTCAGCGGGGAGCGAAGGCACGTTGCCCCCCTACGCGCCTTTCCACATCCACGCCAGCTCCGATAACCACCGAGATTTATTCCCCTCAAAAACACTCCCGACTCTCCTAATTGCGCGCTATACATGGTAAAGTCCGCATTTGTTTGGAGAAAGATCGTCGCCCGCCGCGGAGGTTTTGCGTGCCGACTCTGCGCCACAATTGGATGTACGCCAAAAAGAAAAAAAACTAAAATCCAGGAGAAAATGCTCCAAATTCAATCTGCAGATGTTAATGAAGCCGCTGGAACAGTTCAAACACGGACAGCCCGACAAAGGCCAGGGTCTGGTGTTGTCTTACACTCCTCTGGCACAAGCTCGGCGCGTTTTCTTGCGTTTTTCTTGTGAAAAGTGGCCAAAAAAAGTCATATTATAAACCATTTGTAGGGTATTAAAAGGTATTCCGATCATTTAATTAAGTAGAAGTGACGAAGCTCATGCGTACTGGCAACAAAAATAAATGAACTTCTCATTATCTAGAATGGAACTGGTCTGTTTGGTAATATTATTTGTATTTGCATATTTTTTATAGGCATCATATTTGATGAACTTCTCATATGATTTGTAAGTCAAATCGGAGTAACGAGTTGTAATGGAGTAAAAAGTACAATAGCTCCTGTGAAATGTATTGGAGTAGACGTGTACAGCAGCATACATGGAAATACTCAAGTAAAGTACTCCAAAATAAGTACTTGAGTAAATGTACCTCCCACCATAGAGACTGCTGAACCAGTCTGTGAGAGACTTGCTGCTTTTATCCTGTTTTCAATCTGATTAAATGTAATTTATGGTCATTTATTTCCCCCATAAGGCGTCATAGTTTCTACACTCTGCCTCTGTGTGTTGGTGCTCTCCTGTTAAACACCAGATCCCTCTTTATGTGTGTCAACGTGTTCAGAACAAGCGAAAAACTAAATGGTTTGACCTCTTGGGCTTCCAAAATATCCTTCAAAGAAAAATCACTGCTCACTTGGCCCGACCGCAGCAGAGAGCCTGAGAGCAGCAAACCATGAGGGTTGGAACTACTGTGTCATTAGCACAGAGCTGGAGAGCAGAGCCTCTGAGGTCAGGGGTTGAATGAATCCTCTGGGTATTTTTAAATTATTTGGAATTTTATTTAGTAGGTTAGTTTTAGGTTTAGTAGGTTAACGGTGGAGTTATATTTTCTGTGCATTTTAATTCCCAGGATGCAAGAGGAAAAGCTGCCAGGAGTTGAATTCTGGTGGACAAATATGAGTGAGCTGCTGGGAGCTGAACCTCAGTACACATAGTAATTAGTGTAAACTGAAACGCATCCATAGTTTTTAGTTAGCACACTTCAAAGATCTGTTTGAGACTTTGGGACGTGCATTTATTCACTTCTGCTGCTTAATTAGAAAACCCGGATGTTTCTTCTGAGTATGAGCCTGGAGCCAGTTTAGCTCAGCTTTGCTAAAACACTGGCGATGGTGCAAACAGTTCCATCCAGAGATCCTTCCACAACCTCTACGTCTCTCTAATTATCTCACCGTCTCATTTGTTTCACCTCGCAACAGACAAGTTCTTCCTTTAAGGTGTGATTTAGTGGATGTGGATCGCACAACGCTGCAGTTACGCTTTAATGACACCGTCCATGTTTAGACTGGTTCTCTATGAGTCTTGATTGTCCTCCCCTGCAGACGCCCTCATGAACAGCTGCAGACACAACAGTCAGCTATCTGCTGGAGCATCCACGCTATTGTCTTTGAAGCGTAGTCGCTGCGTGGACACAGATTTTCCTGTTGCACCACGCTGACACTTCACATCGTGGGGATCCCGGCCTGTGGGGAAGCATAACACGGACCTCATGCACCAAATCTCCTGGACATTTAGAAACATGAAGAGGGCAGCATTTGTCTGAGTTTGCACCAAGTGTACCACCTGAAGAATACAATAGAATAGAATAGAATAGAACTATATTGATCCCTTTGGTGGAAACCTCAGGGAAATTTCTGAATAAATAATAATAATAAATAAACGTGTCTTTAGATTTCTGGAGGCCTTTTTACACATCAGCCAGCAGCCACACAGTCACAGAGAAGCTTTACGGGTGATTCAGTCGGTGATGG